TCCCCCCCCCACCCCCCCACCTGAACACCACGACATCCTCGTGCACTCCAGTGGTGGGGTTTTGGCGGGTTATGACCAGTTCCTCACACGCCTCATGACACATGAGCTCCTGTTCAGAGGGGGAATCGAAAGCACGAATGTACGGTATAGGTTGGGGGAAGCAACGGGTATGGGGAGGAGTTGTTGTTGTTGTTGTTTGGGGGCCACACACGGGGGGGCAAGGGGAGGGGGATAAAAACACACATCAAAAACACACATCGGAGCTTGGAACATTGTCGTACATCCCACTCCAGGTTCCGCCCTTGTGCGGACAAGGGAAAAGGACAAAGAAGCGCTGTGAGTAATTTAATCACTTACGCTTAATCGCTTTGAAGTTAGTGAAGTTTAGAACTCTGCAGCTGCTCTGAAGCTCTGCAGCTGATTCTAAACTTCACTAAACCAAAGCGTTAGCCGTTTTCCCCCCGCGAGCTAGTTGGGCTATAAAAGATTTGAACTTTTGACTTCCGCCTTACCAAAGCGGCGCTCTAACCAACTGAGCTAATAGCCCATCACGGTGCTTTGCATATATTCCTACCTACCTACCTACCCACCTACATACTCTTCTCCGTAATTCAATAGGAGCTACGGCAATGTCATACTATCTCCGTATTGCCGTACTATCATCGTACGCTTTAGTACACGTCCGTACCTCCGGCCACGGCAGCATAGTCATGTCGCTCTGGCACTTGGCCACCCAGGCCAGCCCCGAGCTCGGGGAGGAGAAGGAAGCTAGGACCAAACCGTCAACCGCCTCAACCTGCGGTGGACGGAGAAAATCTCAAAAATCACCATCTTGGACTCGTTAACAACGTTTTACACAATTTAATAATAATATTACACAAGTCCCGTGCAATTCGGGACAATTCATATTTTAATCAATCAATCAATCAATAAATAACAAATATATTTAATATTATTTATAAATAAAGAATATAATGTTTTTATTTTAATTATTTTAATTTGGCTCTGGCCCCATTCAGGTGGCAAAACTCCAGAAAGAAAAATATATCACCTCCTCCCATCCACCCCCAAACCCCCCGTCGGTATGCCACCACCGACTACCGCCTACCAGATAGCCATGGTACTTGATCAGCTCCAACGAGGCGTGGTCGCGAAACATGGCCAGCGCCGTGGCGGCCAACTCCGGGCGCCACTCCAGCAAGCTCATCGCGCCAACCACGTGCACAAAGACCACCACCACGCAGCCCGCGGGCGCGTCCAGCACACCCAGACTGAACTGCTGGCGGGAGCGCACCTCCCGCAGCGCCGGCAGACGGCCCTGCAGCCCCCGCGGACAGCCCCAGTAGAGGCTGATGGAGGGCAGGTCGTCCTTGACTCGGTGCTCCCCAAGGTGAAGCACCATGACGCCGCCGCGGAGGCTCTCCACGGCCAGCTGGTTTTCCATTGGGGGGAGGGGGGGAAAGACGAACCACACGCGATTGAAGCTGCTGCCGGGGCAAGAGAGTAGCAAACGTAAAAACTGACCGAAAGGCGTCCGTGGCGACTGTGACGACTGTAACCTCGGGATGACGAAGTGACGTAGATGTTGGAACTCCTACCTACCTAAGCCGCCAGAAATAAAAAGCTGAATAGTATAGCCAATCCGTAAAGTAGTAGGTGTAAAAATAGTAGTGAAGGCGGCGAGTAAAATAGTGCTGACGTAAAAGTGGCGTAAAGTTGCTGGCCAGGAGAGAAGGCTGAATTGCTGATACTGAAAGGCTGCCGGTATGCAAGTGCTCCTCCCAACCGCACCCACCGCATTCCACGGGAGAGGCTTTCGGCGACGTTAGTGGCAGCAAACTAAGGACTGCCTACTCTAAAAATAACCTATCTACAGATCCTCTCCTGCAGCACAGCACAGCGCAGCACAACAACTGACAAACGAACCACAACCCACAACTGCCAAACTAATGAAACCGTCGGCAAGCAAGGACTGCCCACACACACATAATACGCACCTGCGTAAATGCCGCCTCAGACATGAGCACCTGGCCTCCATGTGCGCAATCCGCGACTGCCTTGGCCATGGACAGCCCGACGCCGGTGTACTGCATGCGGTTTGCCGTACGATTGAGCTGCGCCATGTCGGTGGTTTCGGAGAGGCCTGAGTGCATGCCCATTCGCACTCGGAGTCCCCTGCGGTACGTGCATGTATGTATGTATGTATGTATGTATGTATGTATGTATGTATGTATGTATGTATGTATGTATGTATGTATGTATGTATGTATGTATGTATGTATGTATGTATGTATGTATGTATGTATGTATGTATGTATGTATGTATGTATGTATGTATGTATGTATGTATGTATGTATGTATGTATGTATGTATGTATGTATGTATGTATGTATGTATGTATGTATGTATGTATGTATGTATGTATGCGTGAAAAAAGAAGGGTGCCCGATTTATCCACTCCAACCGCCCCAATCACCCTCCAGCCCCCCCAGCTGCCCCCCGCGGGTGCGCAGGACTTGTCGGCACCGTTGACCCCCCCCGGACCTTGTTTGGGCATCTATCCCACACACATACACATACACATACACTCGGAAAGCACCCGAGCCGCACCCCCAGCCACCCCCTCCTCAGAGATCTCACCTGAACACGAGCTGTGCTCCAGGAACCCCCTCCTCCACCGCCTTCCAGCGGCTGCACAGAGACTCCCCCACAGACTGCAAGTTGTGCTGGGACGCCAATCGCATCATGGAGGTCATGCTGGCGGCGCGGGACTCCGGTGACTGTACGACATGGGCGCCACCGCCGCCGCCGCCGGCTATGCCGCCGCCGCCGCCGCCGCCGCGGGGTGCCGGCATCGTGACCAGCGCTAAAAGACTACGACTAAAACCACTACCGCCGCCGCTGCCACCGCCGCCGCCGCCGTGGTTGTGATGGTGGTGAGGTTCCCCAGGGCTGCCAGAGGGGTGTGCATGTGTGTGGGTGTGGGTGTGGTGGTGGTGGTGGTGCAAGTGGGCCGGAATGGGGTGGACGGAGCTGGCTGGCGAGGTTGTCGCTGATAGGTCGGGGAGACCGTTGCTAGCGGCGGCGGCGGCGGCGGCGGTGGAGGTGGTGGTGGGAGTGGTGGGTAGAGTTATTAGTGCGGAGGTGGCGGCGGGTGTTGGTGGGGGCGCTGAGAGGCTGATTGAGGTTGCGGCTCCTAGTCCGGCGAGGTCGCCAAACAGCGGCTGTCGCACGGGGGGCTCTCCTGAGTTGGCAGGAATGGGGTGCTGATGCTGTTGGTGTTGGTGTTGGTGTTTGAAGTGGGTGGTAACGCCGCTGGCGGGTGCGAAGTCCATGAGGCTGCGCTTGACGTTACTACTGCGGCCGCCGTCGACGCCGCCGTCGACGCCGTCGCCATCACGGCCGGGAACAGTGTAGTTGCTAAAATGCGGGTCGACGGACACACCAGCGGCGGCGGCGGCGGCGCCGCTCGCGGTGGCGGTTTCGTCCTCGGAGATTGTGGCGGCGGGGAAGAGCTGAGGAAGGGGCGACGACTGGTCGCAGAAAGCCGCCAGCTCTGCTGCCGCAGCTTCCGTAATGTCGTCGCCGTCGACGGACGGCCCGTGAAGGCTGCGGCTGTTGCTGCTTCGCGGGCCCGTTGCGTCGCTGACGGCGCCGCCGCCACCACCGCCATGGCTTCCCCGCCGTACAGATCTACGGAAACCTGAATAGCCCGAGCTGATGCTGCTTTGGGATACATCACGGCCCAGCGGACTCGGCCGCAGCGCGCCGTCGTAGCCTTGACCATGGCCGAACAAACCTGCCGCCGTGGTTGCAGCAGCATACGAGGTGCTGTACGGCGAAGTGCAGTCTGGGAATGCCCCGCCAACGGCAGCAGCCGCGGCCCCGCTGGGGGTGACGTCGCTGCGGCGCCGCAGGCTGGCGGCACGGGAGCTAAAAGGAGGCAGCGGCGGCAGCGGCAAGGGTACGGCGGCAGCGACGCCAACGGCGGAGGGGCCTAGGTGGCTTGGAGGGCGCCGGCTGGTGTGAATGATTGGACGAGGGGGAGGGTGGGAGGTATTTGGGGAGGTGCGTACGACCGAGGGCGATGGGCCAGGGGCGCATGGCTCGAAGCTTCCCGTGTTGACGTAGTCCGCGAGCTGCGCACTGCTATAAGAGCTGGAGTTTGAGCGGGGATCACGCATGGGAGTCGGCGGCGTGGAGTCGGCGGCGGCGGTGCCGGTGGCGGCGGCGAGGGCAGCGGCAACGGGGCGAGTCGTACTGCTGGCGGCGCCGCTCGCTGAGGAGCGATCGTCACTGACACCGCCACTGCTGCCCGTGCCCGTGGACTGGAAGTCAAACGTCACGGAGGACCGCCGTACAGCTGCACGTGGGCTGTACGGTGGCGGCGGCCCCGACGGCGTCATGACCACGCGGGCGCCCTCCCCAAGCGGCCCGGTGGCGGCGGTGACGGCGCCGTCAGGTGGGTCTTGCGCCCGGTTGTCGTCGCTACGAGAGGAATGCTCCATCGCATCCACCCCTGTCACCGCCGCGGCGCCAACGGGTACGGCAGTCGGCGGCGGCATCCCGACCTCTGGCGTCTCGGCCATGCCGTACGGTGGAAATCTGAATAGCGGCCCCCACGGCGAGCTCTGCTGCAGCTGTTGATGATGGTGATGATGCCCCGCCGGCGGCGGCGGTGACACAGCCGATACGACATCAGTTTCGGAGCGCGGATTTATAAAGTGTTGCCCGCCGGACTCGAGCACTACATTAAACTCCGAAACCGTGGCGATCTCCGTACTCCGTGAATGGCGACTATTGTTTGTCGTACGATCCGGCGCACCCTCAAATGTGTCGGCGGAGTTGCGCCACTTGGAGGAGCTACGGCATCCTGCCGTACTTAGGCGGCCACGGCTGGAGGGCCCTCGCCCGCCGCCGCCGCCGCCAGCGCCACCGACGGTGACGTCGCCGTCGCCGCTGCGGCCCGACGCAGACAAGCTACGATTAATGAAAGGATGCGGCCGCGGAATGCGCGCTGAGCCCCCAAACGCCGTACCACCTCCACTGCCGCCGCCGCCGCCACCGCCTTGCGAAAGCAAGCTATGCGAACGCGACAGGCCTGGCTCAGTCACCGTTGGAAAGCCCGACAACGTCGGGAGCCTCCGATCTGCAGCGCCATCGTCGCCGCCACTAATGCTGTCTTGCTTTTGGGATGATGGGGAGGATGTACCGCCCCCGCCACCCTCGCCGCTGCCGCCGCCGCCGCCGCCGCCGCCGCCGCGGCCGCCGCCATCGCGGAAACTCTCCCGGAACGACATGACGGTCCCCGACGAGAACCCCGCCCTGGCGGCTGCCGCCGCCACCGGCGTCGCGGTACCAACGTCGGCCGCCTCAGCTCCGCCGCCGCCGCCGCCGTCACTGCTCGTACTACCACCGTACGCCACCGGTGACGTTGGCGAATTCAATAGGATATCTTGGCCGCCGGGTTGCGACACCGCCCCTGCTGCCGCCGTGATTGTACGGTAGTTGCTGCCGCTGCTGTCCCGCGGCGTTGAGTGCCGCTCAAGAGTCCCGACACCAGAGGCGAACGACGCCAGCGGCGACACCAGCGGGTGCACCGTCGCTGCCGTACTTACCGACGGTATGGGTGAAGGCCCCAACCGACTCAAGCTACGCCCCAAAAAACTTAGTTGCCGCGGCGATGCGCCCAACGCACCCATGGCCGGGCTGCCGCTGCCCGACATGCTCATTAAGTACGGCGATGTGCTGCGGGCATAGCGCGTCGGCGGAGCCGCCAGACCCAATGATGGATAGGAGCCCAACGACATGGCGCCCGATGTCCCGCCGGCGCCGGCGCCGCCACCGCTGACACTGCCGCCTCCACCGCTGACACTGCCGCCGCCGCCGCCACCGCTGGCACCGCCGCCACCGACACCGCCACTTCCGACACCAACGCTCAGCGTGACGTTGCTGGCGTCACGCTCATTGCGGCCGCCGCCGCCGCCGCCGGTCGGCAGGCCCAGCGGGTCGCCGCCGCCGCCGCCGCCGGCGGTCGCAAGCCCCAGCGGACCGGCGGCGGCGTCGCCGCCAGCTCCGGATGGCTCGCTACGTCGCAGGACGGATGGAACGCCGTGTAGCGCCAGCATCGACAGCGGCGCACCTGACCTCGTGACCTCCAGGAGGGGCTGCTGGCCAATCTGGCTGTCACGACGGCGCATCATATCGGGCTCACTAGGCCGCGGGCATTACATGGAGGGAACATAGATACAGCACAGGGCGGGTACGGCATTCGTACAAAGTTACTAAAGCGGCGTCGTGATATATCGATAATAGATGCCGGACGCAATACGACAATGCGAAAAGAACGATGCATGTTCGTGAATGCTGCCTCCTTTCTCTTCTCCCCCCCATTTCCGTCCTACTGCCCGCTCTCATCCTCTCTTTCCCATAACAATGAAGCATACATACACACATACATACATACATACTCTCGCGGCCCACAGTGTAATCTAAGTCATACATGCATGCACACACACACATGCATACACACACATACATACATACATACATACATACATACATACATACACATACACATACATACATACATCGCAAACGCACCTCTTGCACATCCAGACCGGCCTGCATCCCTCCAGCTCCAACAGCTCAGGAGGCCAGGACACCAGCAGCAGTTCCTTTGGGGGGGAGGGGGTGCGGGAAATAGGGGGGGAGGAGAGGGGGAGGAGGCGGGGGGGGGAGGTATACACAACCTGGTCGAATCCAATAATCGTCCAAAGCAAGTGAGAAGGGGGGATGTTACTGGAGTGTACGACAGCTGGCCCGTGAGGTTACATGCAGAGATTAGGTCACGGCAAGCTCCAACTAACTAACCAACCAACTAACCGCCTGCGAGGTTGGGGCTTAACCTCCTTGCTGTGAATCCCTTCATTTACACCGAACTGCACAGAAACCCCCCCCCNA